CAATATCAGTTTTTCCTATATATGGCAGTGAATGCTGGACCATCTCAGAAGATGGAGAAGGGGCTTGAAGCAACAGAAACGTGGTTCGACAGAAGGATGCTGAGAATACCACGGACTGAACGTGAGCAACGACGAAGTTTTTGAGGAAATGGAAATCAAAAGGACACTTATACGTAACATGAGAGAGAGAGAGAGAGAGAGAGAGAGAGAGAGAGAGAGAGAGAGAGAGAGAGAAATGAATTAATGAAGAAATACAATGTGTTTATGTAAAAGACATGACTTATTTAAAAGTTGTGTTTAAAAAATGAATTTGTTTACATTGCAACCTCGGTTCTCGAAAGTCTCACATGTTGAACAAATCGGTTTTCGAACAGAAATTTCGAGATGAAAATACCTCGGTTATCGGACAAAAGTTCGGTTCTCGAACAACATTGCCGAACCGAGTTAACCCGAACGGAATAATTTCTAAGTCGACCGCCATGTTGTATATATTCGTGTGTTGTGGCGTGCTTTTCTTTCCCCCAATTATATTGTACTGTGACTTTTTTTTCTCTACATTGATTCCTATTGGAAAAATAGTTTCGGTTTACGAACGGACTTCAGGAACAAATTAAATTCGTGAACCGAGGTTTCACTGTATTTTTTAAATTTGTAATCTACATTTAATTGAAATACATTAATTATTCATCTAAAAGGGCTGCCCCGAAAACGATGATTTCTATTAACAGACACGGGGTACATAACAACGCTATTGAATAGAGCAAGTTTACAGCCGCAAAACATCTTTTATTTTCACATCTCCTTTACTTCTTCTTTATGTGCCGTGCCCTCTCAGGGCATAGTCGATCATGACCCTCCACAACTTCCTCTCCCTTGCAGCTCTTAATAAATGTTGTTTTTCTTTTATTTCTCCTAAGCACTGTTCCGCCATCCATTTACTCAAGCTCACTAAGTATTTTATGCGTTATTTTCATGTCTTCAATCTGTCCTGTGAGTATCAGTTTTTTCAAGCCCTCTTTCTTCATGTGCCTTAGAAACCTCAATTGTTTCTTAAGTATAAGCTTCCTTTTTGTTTCCATTTTCTCTAAAACTTCGTCGTTGCTCACATGTTCATTCCATGGTATCCCCAGCATCCTTCTGTAGAATCACATTTCTGTTTCTTCAAGTCTCTTCATTTTTAAGGAGATTGCCTAGCACTCACTGCCATACAGCAGGACAGATATAACGTAGCAGTTTAGTATTCCTTTAGTCACCTATAATCTAAGGACTTTTAACAGGGATTAAAATTTTCTGTGCCCACTCCGATATGACTTTTATGGGTTTAACCTTCATTGTCAGCCAAAAGCTGTCATCAAAGGGTTTTCGGGGGTTACTTCTGGTAACAGTTACACGTACACTCTTCATCTTGGAATACAGCCTAAAGGTGACGAAAACTTGACAATAGCACTTGAATATTTGTACTTCGCATTTTTGCGTTTTACATAGAACAAAAATATCAGGAACAAGACTAACAGATTCTTGACACTGAAGAATTGCCGACTGTGCCATATACGACGAACGCTCCGAAAGTAACGCTTCCGTTTTATTTCAGCGGAAACGGATACAGGGAACACTGTTTAGGCGAACAAGTTTTCAGCTACAAAACACTATTTTTCCACACTTTTGCTCGCGATGAATATTTCATGGGTTAACAGCTGTGTAGGACCAACCGGAACGTGGACTGTTACGCAAATAGCTCTTTTCAATGCTGAAAACTATTTCCTGCCACCCAACTGTGCTCACATCCGCTGTTTGGTCTCTGTAAAAGTTTTGCAAGAGTTGATAGATGTCAGTGTGTGCATTTTTTTCTGTATAGAGGAATTCAATAGCATATTACTGTGTCGTGGACTGACGCTTAGCTTCAGTCTGTAACAAGTTAAAACCAAAACATTATGGGTTATTGATGGGAAGGTTCTACCTCTACAGTCATATGACTAACATTACAACTTGATGCTTTGGTGCAACTTGAAATAGGATGCATTACTTTCGGATCGACAATAGTACTTTCATTTATTCTAATATAGTGACCTAGCATATTTTTCATAATTTCTGAACCCGATATACCTAGATGGGGGTTTCTGCCCACTGACTTTACTCCTTCTTTACCGTCGGCCAACTCACTTTCATATCCATTTTGAACTAATTCGTGTCGCTTTACCATGAACAACCGAGTAACTGATATAGGTCAGGGCGTTTTCATGGCATCAAGGTACGATGGCGCCACTTTATATTACCTTTGCATACAGCTAGCCCATAACTTTTGCCACGTCAGAGTATATAGTGACATAATATTCTTTGAAGGCAGAAAAAGCGAATCTATGGAGCCGACAGCTTTTGAACCCTATATACATACATAAGGCTACATCTTTTCCTGTTGTTGCCCACTGACTTTATCACTTTTTACTCAGTTTATCCACCAAGTATTTCTGGCAGTAGAGGTAAAATAAAATCTTGATGATTCAGCCCCGAATATCGCAAGTCGCTCTTGTCTCTCTTTATTTACTCGTGTTTAACACTTTCTTATAATCACTAGAAAATACCCTTCGATAGAGATAAATTGCTCATCTACATGTAGGGTACTCTGATGGCGACGTAGAAAACTGTTTCACATACACACACATATTTTTGAATGAATTTTTTTTTATTTGATGTTATTTCTTATTACTAATAACGTTATTTTTAATTGAGTTACTACAACCGGCCTAGATCCAGAAGTCTTATTAAAGAAAGATTGTGCCTCTGACAATGTAGGAGGGTTGATATTAATTTCACTGTTTTTTTAAAAACAGAACCGAGATATCAAGTCAAACACTTGCAACCCCCCCCAAATGGTTTATATTAATACTAGCTTAAGCTAGCTTCTGCCGAGATCTCTTCATTGGGCTTTCGTCACAATAGGTAGGTAGGAGTAGATGCGATAGGCAACAATAAACTACATCTGAACTCAAAACTGATTACTGCATTTAAGTATCGCATTAATATTTAAACTTACCTTTTAAAAGTTCAACGATACTTCTACTATCGTCACTTTGACAATTTGATGTACGTAGGTCCTTACTTTCTGTACAAACAATTATTTTTATTTCATGGGCGACTTTCGCTGGATTTCGCAATTAATTTTGATTATTCCCAAATTTATTTCCAAGTTAAAAAAAATTGTTATCGTACAAAAAATTCGTCAAAAAAAAAAAAAAAAAAATCATGTAAAAAAGTCGCTGAAAACAATCGCAGTAATGAAAACCTGGTAATCCAAAATTTCAGGATTGCGTGTCTGGATACGATCCGGAAAGTTTTTAATTTGCTCACGGAGTCGGCATGATTCCAGAATGGTGTAATATGTTGGTCTACCGCCTCTCGGAGTAAAGTTGAAAAAGTGTGACACACTGACGTTCGCATTTATTATATAGAAGAAATAATGTCGGATAAAAATCATTTAAAAAATAACTGTTGTTTAATTTCGAGTACGAAATTGAAGCTTGCAGATATAACTTTATAGAAGCTCAAACAAGAAATGTGCATTCCTTAAATAGGTAATGCAAAACTTATTCTATAAATCGAAATTGCACTAACAGAATATTGGTGAGACTATCTTGCGGTCTGCCATTGGCCTTATCCGTTACAGTTTTCAGGAATCTAACCAGAGCATTACTACAGATGTTTACTGTCAGTAACTAGGCGAAATGCACTTTCAGTTAAGCAAAATGTGACCGGCACTAGTTAAGTGGCGTAATCCAATTTTACTTCATGACAATACTAGGCCACATGTTGCCAGGATTACACTTCTCATCGACTTGGGATTTGAGACGTTGCCACAGTCACCATATTCCCCTGATATCTCGCTCATTGACTATCACGTTTTCAAGTATCTTGAAAAGATTTTAAGCCATAAAGACATTCCGTTGCAAAAGAGATACAAAAAGCGCATTCAAAGATTTATTGGCGTCGAAAACTTGATTGATTGTCTCGTTTTCTACGGCTTATGAATCCTTTGCCAGTTATTTAAAGCTAGAAAATATTTTTAAATTATAAGAATTATTTTTTTGAGATAATAAGTCTTTAGTGATAGAAGTCTTACTAAATAACCCATAACTTAGGGGAAGAGATGTATAATTTAGAATTTGATAATAATATAGAATTTTTATAATCAAGAACTTATAGTGAGGATATAATAGGGTGGTGACAATCAATATATAAACTGATCCCCCACTTTGTGGCCATGGTAGTTTCTGTACATTTATGTGTCAGAGAATCTGTCTATATTTCTGAGATCAGGCATTATGTACATTATTTACATTATTCGGACTATTGTCCTCATCTTTGTCGCCATATTTATTACAACGTTTCGGCCGTTGTACGCTCCGGCCTTCTTCAGGTGGTTGGAATGTGGAACTTGACTCTTTATTTCGCTCACTGGGGTAGACTGTTCTAGTTCCACGTGCCATTTCAGAGGGAAATTAACAGGAGATAACTGATATCCATTAAACATGGCACGTGGAACTAGAACAGTCCACCCCAGTGAGCGAAATAAAGGGTTAAGTTCGACATTCCAACCACCTGAAGAAGGCCGGAGCGTACAACGGCCGAAAAGTTGTAATAAATATGGTGACAAAGATGAGGGCAATAGTCCAACTAATATAAATAATGCCAGAGAATGTAAATCATTCTGAAAGACATACCTGTGTAGCTAATCAATATTTAATCAATTGATTCGTTTTCTTTGGCTTATGAACCCTTTAAGTCATTTAAAGCCAGAAAATATTTTAAGATTGTAGAATTTTGCGGGGATAATAATCATTTAGTGACGCATGTTTTGCTAATTAACCCATAGCTGGGGGAGAAGAGGTGGTTTTCCAAGGGTATTTGCATGTAAGAGAATATAATGAACCTAACTGGAATTGGAACCCGGTTCCCCAATTAACAATTCTGAGCCATTATCTATTACACCACACGCACATTCATGCATTCAGCACCTGGTATTTACGAGCGGTCACCCATCTAGGTATTGACCAGGCTCGACGTTGCTTAATTTTGATGATTGCACGGGAACTGGTGTTTCAACGTGATACGGTCGTAAGCCGTCCAAACCTTGAGATCTTCATCGTAAAGGCGTAAATAGCTAGCCACTCGTATTCGAGGTTATCCGTCTGCTAGGGCGGCTAGCCAATCCCTATTGTAGACGTTTGCCCAGGTACATTCGTGTTTATTCAACACTTACAGAGCCCACCAACTATGCAGACCTTAGTTACAGTTTCTGGGAAAGAGCGTGTTATCTAGCGTGTTCAACGATTTGAACAAGGCCAACACGATCAAGCCCTCAGCCACGATGATTTGTGACTTAGTGCTAGCACAGCTATCGACGACTCCCAAGGGTTCCGACTACCCAATTTCTCTCTCAAGGATTGGGTCAACCTGTGGTATGGTTTTCAGACACTTTCCAAAGGTCAATAAATGCCGAATGTTTCCTTATAAGGAAACGGCTAATATTACCATTACAATGAGGGATGAGAAGAACAGATACCACACTTTGATTGCTAATATTACCATTACCATTACAGACAAGAACAGATACTACATTTTGATCGCTAATATTACCATTGCAGACGAGGAGAACAGACACTACACTTTGATCGCTAATATTGCCATTACCATTACAGACGAAGAGAACAGATACTACACTTTGATCGCTAATATTGCCATTACCATTACAGACGAGGAGAACAGATGCTACACTTTGATCGCTAATATTGTCATTACCACGGCAATTAGTGTTTAATTCTCAGTTACAGAAGAAAGTGTGTAGGGAGGAATAAATACTGAATGTTTCCTTATAAGGAAACGGCTTATATTACCAACACGGTTGAAAACGTATAAAATCCATCTTTCTCGGTGGGTCAAGTCTGGGAATTATTTTCTGTTGGTCGATCTGAAGCAATGGGAAAAATAGCAATGTAGTACGATTCTTTTAATTGTATAAGTCTGTTCCAGAAATTTTTACGCGGGATGGAGATAGTGGGGGGTCAATTTGGAAGTCATCTTGGTGATCCCAACTCACCGAGCTCTGGAAGGACGATACTAAGACTAGAAACTCGCGTGTGACTAGAGACTGTGTGCGAACTGATCACTTTAAACGATCAATAAAGGCAGGCGGAAGAGTATGCAGCCGATTACCATTATTACGTAGAAGAAAACTAACAACAGTATTTTCTTCAAACCCATCATCAAAGTGTATAGGGGGGTGACTTTTAACAAAGGGTGGTGGTCCGGGTAGTAAGTATTTGTATACTTAAAACATTTTCATAGTGGGCGCAAATAATTTTCTGGGAGAATAGTCCCATCCTGTTCGTAACAGCTCTGATTTTCTAAAATCTGAAATAGTGTTGTGTACGATACACCTAATTTACATAAGTGGAGTACCGACCATATAAATATGGGTTGGTACCGGGAAGACGGGGGAAAAAGGGAAGTAAGAAGGGATCGAATCCAGAGACTCTGCCCGACTGCGATTTAGTCAACCCATTATGCAGGAACAGTCTTCCCAAGAATATACCAAAACTAACTGTAAATATTGTGTACCTTTTCCTTGTTTCAATACATTTTGTTAACGTCCATTTTGTGTTGTATTATTATTATTCCATGCTTATCCAAGTTTCAACAAATAGCGTTTCTTTTGTTTTCTAATTTGACAGTATTATAGTGATTTTCTAAGCATAGCTTAGATGTGGCACGTGGCCGAAAGTATGGAGAACTCAGTGAGGAACGAACACACTATTCAGTCGTAATTGACCCAACGAGACAAGCTTGCTAAACATTGCACCACGTCGGCATGCTCTAAAATGATTTACTAAGCTCAGAAATATGGCACATGGCCGAAAGTATGGAGCACCCAATGAGGATCGAACTCACTAATTAGTCGTAATTGATCTAGCGAGACAAGCTTACTAACCATTACTCCACGTCGGCATGCGCTAAAATGATTTTCTAAGCCCAGAAATGTGGCACATGACCGAAAGAATGGAGTATCTAGTGAGGATCGAACTCACTACTCTGTAGCAATTGATATGGTGAGACAAGCTTGCTAACACCGCGTCGAAATGTTCAATCTGACGGTATTATAAATCGTAGTAGATTTTTGAACTTTCTTTTCTGGGATGACTATAAACATCGTTACCTGAGAAGAAGAAAAAAGTGATCACCACGCTGACCGAATTTGCCTGACAGACAGAAAAAAACAAGCGATATAATATAATAGATCTTATACATTCCATTCTTAAAAAAACTGCTATTGTTTTCGTATCCATCACCAGACACTGAGATGTTCATATCACACGTCAGCTTCTATAACTTAAAAATGGGTAATGTAAGTAGCTGGTAGTTGGCTTATGCGTTTTTGAAACTAACATGGCTGCTTCTACAAGTCTCTCTGTTTTAACCTGTCAGAGAGCAAGATCGTTTGACAAAATTTTTTCTTGTTTTTCGTGACATTTTTTTTCTCTCGAGGAATCGATTGAAATTCATGTCATTGAAATACGGTATGTAGTAAAAAAAACGAAAAAAAAATTCTACTTGATTACAGCGGGTGAAAATACATCCACAAGATTTTAAAGAAGAAAGAATTGAGTTTTGAATCAGCGCTTCATCTGGAGTGATTGACGATGGCGAACGAACGCGCGCGATCGTGAGCATGAAAACATCCTGACAATTTATGTATCCAGTTAACAATAAAGATACAAAAAGATTACCTTTCTAGAAAATTATTGGCTCTTTTCTGTTAATTCATCCCCAAATATTAATTCATCCAAAAATAAAAAGAATTTATATTTAATAAAATTCACACCAAATTCTCCCAGAGTGAGGCCCTTCCCTTGCACTCCGGTTGGAATGACCTTTGCGATCGCCCCAAATCTGGGCAACTAGGGTGCGCTGTCTTTAAATATGGGGTTGGCGACCACACCCATCTCGATAAACAAGACAAAAACATTTTTTCCTTTTTTTTTTTTAATTGTAAAAAAAAAAATCCTTATAATTACCTCGAATGTCATCCGCTCCTACGAAATGTGAATAATTCCCTGATTTTTGGTAAATTTTCATTCTGAGGATTGGAGCTGTTGTAAGGCAAGCTAAACAAATTTTGATTTAAAATTTATAATATCCAAAGAGTGCACGTCCTGGGTAAGACGATAAACTACATCCAACAGCAATGTATCTGTTCAGAAGGTTTTGAGGAGCGTGGAACCACCTCTTAATTGCTGGTGTTCCCAGGTCTATCCTGACCTGGTGTGGTAGCACCTGTTAAGGTCTCAACTATGGGCAAATAGTTAACGCCCAAACTGGTATCAAATTACTATGAAAGCGCAAAAAAAGGTTTTAATAGCAGAAATTTTTTGAGGAGCACTTTCTGTGGAAGTAGCGGTAGATCAGCGAGAGAATTGCCATATCCCGCCTGCGGGAGAGAGGCTGAAGGGAAAATGCAAAATTATTTGCATTTTCTATGCACAAGTAGTCCAGGCGAAGATCGAAAGCAAACGACTTGAAACCCCGGGTGTTCTGGAAGACGGCCAATCTGATTCTCAATAGAGGCAAAGCATTAGTACTTGCTATCATAAATGTCTCGGAGGTAATGTCACTTTTGTCAGAGCTCTTCGATCTTTTCTCTTTAACACTGCGTTAAGTGCCAAAAAAAACAAAAACAAAACAACAAAAAACAAAAAAACAAACAAACAAACAAACACCTTCTCGTTTCACGGAGCAGAATCTCGGTAATATTTTTATCCCAACCCTGGAAGTCTCAAAACTTATCAAAAGTCTTGACCCTAAGAATGTTACTGGCCCAGATAAAATCCCAGTCAGTCAGTTTCGATACATGACTGACGAGTCTGTTTTTTTTCCCGTAGTAAGTTGCCATTACTTTCTGTGGTAGACCAGTTGCCATCCAAGGCTAGAGAACTCGGTCTGTCTTGCTATTTGCCAAGAGCTGATGGGGAGAGATTAAGAGGATTCATACCTTTCCCAAGTGTATTAGCAAGTAAGTGAAAGTAATGGATTCGACTGGAATTCGAACTCGGCTCTCCGATTCCCCAATCCGAGCCGCTATCCATTACTCCACTGTAACTCCTATCCCAGTAGTTAACCTTGATTTATTTCCGATTTAAAATGGACAGCATGTGTAACTCGAAGAGAAAATAATGACATAAGACGTTGACGTTCCACACCACTTCAAACAAAAGGTTAGGAAGGAAACCCCCATCAGTACTGGAAAGAGCGACAACAGCTACTGGACTTGAAAAACGTAATTTCCTGAAGAGAAAGATTTTATAAGCCTCAACCGAAAACAGTATTGATCGCTCTTATCATTAACATTAGCAACACTATTAAACAGTAACTTGTAGGAGAAATCCTTTTCAAGTTTGTGGAAGGTGTCAAGTGTATGTTTCATTTTCAAGAAACCTGGTGAACGCTCATCCTCGTCTTAGTATAGACCTATCAGCCTCCTCGGTGTCATTAGCAAACCTTTTGGCGCTATAATCAATAAGAAGGTTGTTGATCACCTCAAAAAGGATAACTTCTCGAGCGACACTTCAGTCTTGATTTCTTCAAGTCAACGGTCAATCATTATCTATCCTCCTTATCCTCAAAATCTTCACTTCCTATAATCTTTTTTTTCATCCATATCAAACTTCATTCAGCATTGGCAATTTGACCGTAACCCTCTACTTTGAGTGTTTCTCGAGTCTTGTATTGGGTAAACTTTAGGTTTGAAAGACATTACTTCATGAAATTCTATTGATAGTCTCCAGAGTCACAAAGAACCTTACCAAATAAAAAAAAATTACTTGAAGATTTCCAATAGCAGCAACAACTAAAACGGGTAGCACATGCAACTAATATAATTATAATTATAATTAAGATGTTGATATTCCACACTACCTTAGACAAACGGTTAGGAAGGAAACTGTTATCAGTAGTAGAAATAGCGATAATAGTGGATTTAGGAAATTTATTTTTCTGAAAATCTCTTTTAGAAGAAAACATTTATAAATTTCAAGCGATATTAAAGCCAACGGTTCGGTCAATGAA